TTTTAATTTCTTTAACATTTATTTATTATTTCTTAGAGACACAGAAGATAGAGTGTGAGCAGGGGAGGGGGCAGAGAGAAAGGGAGACACAGAATCCAAAGCAGGCTCCAGGCTCGGAGTTGTCAGCACAGAGCCCGACATGGGGCTGGAACCTACAAACCATAAGATCATGACCGGAGCCAAAGTTGGACACTCAACTGACTGACCCACCCAGGCTCCCCAGGAAATGTTTATTTTTATTGTTTCATTTCATCATATTATACATGTTAAAAATATCTTTATAAAGGCTCACTTTAAAAAAAAATTTCTTTTATGTTTTATCTTTGAGAGAGAGAGAGGGAGAGAGAGAGCGCGCACAAGTGGGGGGGGGGGGGGGGTGTGGGGGGCGTGGAGCAGAAAGAGAGAGGGAGACACAGAATCCGAAACAGGTTCCAAGCTCTGAGCTGTCAGCCCAAAGCCCGACGTGGGGCTCAGACTCACAAGCTGTGAGATCATGACCTGAGCTATAGTTTAACACTTAATCAACTGAACCACCCAGGTGCCCCTACAAAGGCTGACTTTCAAAGACTATTTCTGGTTAAACTATTTTTTGCTACCTATCTATTTTTAACATCTTTTGTCCTGGGTCTTTATGTACACTCCCCCTCTAAAATGTCCTTCCTATCTCTATCAGTTCAGATTCATAATGTATTTGCTTATTTACCAAATGAATACTGAGTAGCTACTATGTGCCACACAGAACTATTGCTGAGAAAATGAAATATAATTAGAGAGAGATTATTCCAGACCTGCCTCAAATATCCTCTCCTCCTAAAGCCTACCCTGAGTCACTTCCTTTATGAAGGCAGACCTTATTAGGAAAACATGGATGGTGAAGAGGATGGAGGCAAGAGGGGGCAGTGCAGTAAAGCACAAGAAATATGGCTCTGGGCCAGCTGTATGGGTTTGAATCACAAGTCTGACAAGTGTCAGTAGGGTACCCTCAGGCAAGTCATTTAACATAGGTGAACCCCATTTTCTCTTTTGAAAAACAAAATATAACCTACAGGGATGAGTGACTTTTAGGATTTAAGATTATAATCTTATGAGATATGTTGTGTATCTATGTATATATAAATATATTCTCTAAAATACATATGTGTGTGTATAAACACATACATATACACACATATTTACATATTTATACATAATATATAATACATATGTGTGTTCATACATAAAAACAAATATAAATATGTAAATTATATATATTTCCCCCCTTTTCCTCTATTACCACTTATTTGCTAAATAAGTATTCCATGCAACTTTATAAAACATAACTATCATGAAAGGAGAATCCACTATTTTTTTCTAATTAAAATCCATAAAATTTCATTTTTTCTTGGAAATATTTTCAGAATTTCATAACCACTGGTAAAATAAGTAGAAATACTTATAGATGAAAAGAAAAAAAGAATGTTAATTATGTTTATAAATTTAGATTCTCCTGAGAACTCACTTTAACATAGGCTGATCACTTCCAAGGAACTCAGTAATTAGTATTATCTTAAAAACTATTATTGTAAGACTCCCAATTGCTTTTGAAATAAGTTGTTTTATATAAAGAACATTTCTTAATTATGAAATTTTGTAATTCATGTACATAACAAAAAATATAAACACTTGCATAAAAAATTTCAATTATAAAGCTGCTGTACATTGGCTAACTTCCTTAAAATAAACATACCATTTCATATGTTCTAATTTTCTCTTGTAAGAAACTAATTTGCATCTTGAAGTCTTCTTTCTTTTTTTGATAATCTTCTAATAAATGGTCTTGTTCTTCCAGCTGTTGCTGATGAGTGAGGATCTGTTGTTTGGCTTGTAACAAATCTGCAGCTGTGCTACTATGAGTGCTGTTTCTCAGAGTTTCACTAGCCTGTAACTTAAAAACAGAAAGAAACCCCCAAGTTAAATTCTGAAGTGATTACGCTAGGGAATAGGCATCTTTTGGGATATTACTCAGCTCACAATTGCTCTCTGGGAAATCTGCTAGATTCATAGGCTTGAAACCCAAGCAAACATGCTGTCATGGCTTATCAGATGAGTATGGGCACATCATACAAACTGAACAGTAAGATTATCCCATGACAAAGCAGAAAAAGTCTAATAAAATAGGGAAGACTAGGCAGACCTACAGAAAGAAAAGGGGCCTGAAAGACAGTACTTCCTGGATTCCTGATATCCTTCTAGTTTCTGATTCCAATACCTTTCAGAGGCCTGGTTGTATTTCCACCTTGAATTCTGTAATATAAGCCTGTATTTAAATTTCTCCCTTTTGCTTAACCTATCTCAAATTATTTTCTGTACTTGCCATCAGAAACCTTGATTAATACAATTACATTCTTATGGCTCTGATTAAAGGTAAATGGAATATATTCTGTCTGGTTACCATTTTAGAAAATAAAATAAAATCATACCAGGGTTAGCAAAGGTAGGATGTGGCTACATGTTAATTTCTGCAAAAATCCACCCATCAGACTTAAAAGATACTGTAGGCTTTCAGTATACAGACGAGGATGAAAAAGAAAATAACAGCAAAGAAAGCACAAAAGAACTAAATTCTTGGTTAACATAATAACAGGTGTTCGTTATTTTTTCCAACATGATACATTATAAGCAGATGTGATTTTAAGTTTAAATTTGTTTTAAAACTCATGAGCATTTTTTAAAAACTTCACTACCAAAAATCTAATAAATTTTGTTCTATTAGTAATACTTACATGCTGGAACTGAATCTGTAATTTCTGACTTTGTTCTGTCAACTCTAAAAATTCTCTCATTGTCTCATCCTTTTCTCTTCTTGCTTGTTGTAAATTAGCAGTAAGCTGGGTTATGATGCCATCTCTTTGTTTAATGGCAGCTTCAAATTCTTGTAACTAAAAGACATCAGTGAAAATAGTAAGTGCCAGACTTTGAAGTTTATATATTTTGAGAGAGAGAGATGGGTGTAGGAGTGTGTGCAAGCAGGGAAGGGGCAGAGAGAGAGAGGGAGAGAGAGAATCCCAAGTAGGCTCCATGCTGTCAGCTTGGAGCCTGAGTGGGGCTCGATCCCATGAACCATAAGATCATGACCTGAGCCGAAATCAAGGGTCAGATGTTTAACCAACTGAGCCATCCAGGTGCCCCTGCCAGACTTATTTTTAGAACAAAACTGATTATTAGTACAGGCAACTATTCAAAAATATACAAAACGCATTGCCAGACTGTAATTAAAAAAAAAATTTTTTTAATGTTTATTTATTTTTTAGAGAGACAGAGACAGAGCACAAGCAGGGAAGGGCAGAGAGAGAGACGGAGACAAAGATTCTGAAGCAGGCTCCAGGCTCTGAGCTGTCAGCACAGAGCCCAATGCAGGGGTCGAAATCACAGACCATGAGATCATGACACGAGCCTAAGTCAAATGCTCAACCAGGTGCCTGGGCAGATTATAATTGTAAGCAATCTCATCCATATTTGAAAAAATTACCTTGCAGAAATTGGTTTTACTTCCAAAACAACTTAAAAAAAATTACCTGATGAATAAAATACACTAGGTCTAACTTATCGATTATCTGTTTCTAGAAGGACAAGTGCCTTTATATTCAGGGGTGCCCCAATCTGTTCCCAGGCAACATCATCATAGACATGTTCGATTCTCACTTGCTCCTGGAGAGGATGAAACTAAAATGTATTCTGTCATCTTCATCAATGGTCTTTTTCACCTTGGTTTCATAACTGACTGCCACAAACAACAGATGTCATTTCAACCACAAGAGGTCCCTTTACAAGGACTGGCTGACATTTTTAATGAGTTTAAGTCATAACATTCTGATGCGGTTTGCACCATATTTTCTCTCAGGCTGATTACAAAAACATCTATTCTACTGAAGGGCTTTCAGCCTAGCTATCTCATGAAGTTAAACAAAAGATTCCAGATTGTATTACCCCTATTCATGGAATCTTAGTGTTAAGCAAGTTATTTATGATATGTATAAGAATATTATGAGATAAGTTACTATGACTTAAGTTATGTACTATTTACATATGCTAGCATTCAAATTTCCTGTTTTTGTTTTTGTAACAAAACAAAAGCCACATAAAGTAGGCATACCTGCTGTAACCCTTCAGTCCCATAGGTGGCTCTCATTTCTTCTAGTTCTCTGTTCAGCTCTTCAATCTCATGTTGTTTGCCAGCCAATTCATTTTCCATCATCTCTAGGTGGGTCTGACTGTACTGTGCTCCATGTTCAGAATAAGAATCATCAGCACCAAATTCTTCTTCCTAAATCAATCCAAGATATTTAATAATTCATACTAACAACATTCCTCAGGAAGAGGGATTCAAATATTGAATCCCATAGTAAAGTCCACTTTAAAATATCACTTATCACCTGAGAATTTACTGGAATGACTACCTACTTTGTTATTAATGTGCTATATACCTTAAAAGCAAAAACAAAATATCTACAAATTTGGTTATAACTGAGCTTTATAACAAAAGACAGCTAATTTTGTTTTGTTAAACATTAAAAGCATTTAGAAATCACACACAGAAAGAAATGCATGCAGGAAACAGCTTTGTTAGTAAGCCAGATGGTTTTTGATAGTGTAAAACATTAGTATCATAAGTAGTTTTAAATACTGTACCCTTAATAAATTTGTGGGCTTTCCTGTTCTCACCACAAAACTGCAACCATTTACCTGTACAAAAACAATTTCCTGATATATTATGATTTTAGATAGAACTTTATTTAAAGCTAACAATTATAATTCTGCTAACTGTATTCGTGCATATTTTATGGATAGGGAAAATGCCTCATTGGCAAAAACAGATACAGCGATTAAACTTAAATATATAAAAGACATTATGATCATTTCAAATTCCAATGATTCCTAAAACACTTGAGGGCTTACAATGCAGAAGACACTGTACTATACATTTTTGTTTACATGAATCAAAGTTCTAAGTGCAGTTTATATTTTGTCTTCAGAAGGGGAATTATAGACCTCAAGTTACTAAAATCCTCTTCTACAAAACGCTCCCTTATAATCATTTAAATAATTGTTTTTTGATTAAGCTCTATTCATTTTAAAGTAAAATCATTTGCTTGTGCAAATTCACTGAAGGTTGGTAATCAGGTCAAAGGGTATGAGATGAAGAGGTAAACAACACTCCCCCAACTTTTCCCTGGGGAAATGACAGCCATGCCAACTCTAACTGATGTAGAGATTTTCCATAACATATTACTGCCTCTACCACAAACATTTGGGGATAGGAGGAAGAAGGATGACAGAGTACGTCTCCTGGGTTGACCTGGTGGGAGATTAATTTCAGGTCAATTAATCTATTTAACAATTTCCTCCTTCCCCCCAACAGTGCACAAAAGAACTTTATTCCTGCTTACATCTTAATTATTCACAATTCTACATTAATACAATTAATAGAATAGAATTCTACATTAATAGAATCCAAGATAATGAAATTTTTACTGCTGAAGTATATAGGACAGGATATCCCAGAATTAGGGTATGAACCACATCCCTTTAAAAAGTGGAAGCACTGCAGCACCTAGCTGGCTCACTCAGTAGAGCATGTGACTCCTGACCTAGGGGTCGTGAGTTCAAGCCTGCCCCACTTTAGGTGTGGAGTGTACTTAAAATTAAAAAAAAAAAAAAAAAAAAAAAAAAAAAAAGGTGAAGATACTATTTAGGAGGTCTTTAACAGAGTTTTATTCCTTGGTTTTTCTTAAAACTAAAGTAAAAAAAAAAAAGCCTCATCTTTATGGCAACACAATATTGCAGTATGTGAAAAACTATCAGAAGATAGGAGTACTAAATCTATTAAAATTATTAATATCAAGTCACTTGAAGTAACTTTCCAATTAAATCCTTCTAAATTTCAATTAGCTGTTCTTGATGCTGGAACAAAGCATTTTAATAAGCATCTACTAAAATGTTTGCTTTATAGTAACAGTGTTATGAAATGGATTTTATGAAAAGCTTCAAATATAATAGTAAGCAATGGATACTCCTTAAGTGGAGATGATATAACTCTGTAGTAAGTTACTGATTTATAATAATTGTATCCAACACATTATACAGCCAATGTTCAGCTTAATTTTTATCTAACTTAAGCAAAACTACATTTGAAAAACTCGTATGTATTGGCTTCTTAAAATACAAGACCATTTTCAAAACTTAATTACATGTTCTTATAATAAACATAAAAATCAGTATTAATAAATTTTAAAAATTTAATACCATGTAAATAGGTAAAAGATTATTCACCAGCACTAAACTAAAATAAACTATATTCTGAAGTTAGAATAGAAATACTCAGAATATTGGAATCACTAACAGTTAACATTAAATTATTCTATTGTTTTAATGTGGATATTTTATTGATACCTAAAGGATAGAGCATTCATCCCTTCTTACATTAGTCTTCTAACACCATACTTGGTAAACTGTAATATGAAAGTAAATTAATAACGTGAAACATGAAGATTAGATTGACAAACTCCTTCAGCTAAAGAAAAGCCTAAACTTCCCTTAATCTCCTTTTTTTACTGTGGCATTTGTCAAAGTTACTTAAACCTTTAGGCTGTACTAATATATTTTTTCTGAATTCACAGATTTACTCAATTTACATGGATAACATGTAGACTAGGGAAAGTACAAGTCAGGTACATTTTAAATTTTAAAATGTTCTGTAGAGGTAAGTGTCACCTCATAAAAATACTGCTATTCAGAAAGATTCAGAGGACGATCTTTTTTATAACCATAAAATGGCCTTCACACCAAAACTTTTTCCTTTCACTGGACATTAATTTAAAGACAGACTATTAATATCCTTATAATACTTAATTTATACTTACACATATTCAAAAATATTAATGTTTTAATAAAGTAAGAATCTGATGGTTCCTAAAAGTGTATGAGAATTACAGGAGTTCAATGTGCCTAGGGGAAATTGGAGCTAAGTAACTAACAAGGCTAAAATCATTTATTGAAAGTCAAGTTGAATATCAAACACATTGCACAAGCTAATATATATACAATTTTTAATTGTCAATTATACCTCAATAAAACTGATGCAGAGAGAAAAAAATACGGTGACACTAAAACAAAACAAAACAAAACAAAAAACCATACCCAAGTCAAAGTTGGAAGACTAAGTTTATATAACTTTATGGCTAAAGGCTAGGTCTCCAACTCCAGCCTGCCATTTCAGAAATATCATGAACTGTATAAGCGACTTGGTTAAGAAGCACTGAATAATCACATGAAATCCATGAGAGTGTATGCTCTACTATCATTTCATCTTTCCATACTTAGCATAGCACATTTATTTACCTATCTTGTGTCTAGGTTGCCTACAATATTCACAGCTTCCTCCAGATAACTCTGCTCAAAGGGTATCAATAAAAATATTTCATGTTAATATGGTGTTTTGGATATGAAATGTCCCTTCATGAAGGACTTAACAGATTACATATAAATTAAATTAATTTGTAAGGAGGCTACTTTTTTATCCAGTCTGATTTCTCTAGTATATGTAATTGCATATATATTTACTCAAAACTGATCTTATTAGGTAGGTCATAGGAAAATATTATCTAATTATTTCTAAGCCTGAATCCATCAGTCAACCCAACGAGAATACCGGCCAAAGAAGTCAAGAAAATTAAATGCACACCATATTTATATGCAGAAAATTTCTAAACTAGTAATCATACTCTGAACTCCTTTTGAGAATAATTTGTTAAAAGAATTCTCATTAATCATTTCATATGCTTAGTGGGAAGAGCACATTTCTACTGAAGAACAGTAAAAAAAAAAAAAACAAAACCTTTGTTGATTGTCTTTTATATACTAAACACCATACTAAATATTATCAGATAACCCTCACAACTACACTGTAGGTATCCTTGTTTACAGATGAAAAAAACTACACTTCAGAGTTTCACTGATGGGCCCCAGTTGATACACCACGGAGGTGATGAAGGTGAAATTTGAACACAAGTTTCCAAAGCCCCTGTTGTTTTCTGTTACCTTACTTCCCTACAACCCAGAAAAATGACAGTGATATTTAAATAACACACAAGATAATTACGTAGCCCACAATTAAAAACTGTAATTTTGAAATTTTAAAAATACTCAAGGGCAAACAAGAGTAGTCAAGATTATTAAACACTGCAAACCTGGCATTTGTAATAAAGTTGTAATCTATGTGTTTCCTAGAAAGGAGTTTCCTTTGGTGGGGAGGGTGTGATACTAAGAGATAATTCCTTAAAATTTCCAATATGAAAAGAATTACAGGGTCAATTTACGTCTTAATTTACAAATTTCATTTACTGATGATTCTTCTGCCTCCTGAAAGTGTGACTATGGCTTACAAGTTCCCTGCAATTCTAGCTCCAGTCACACCAGTTTTAACATCACCAAAAGTAATGGCTAAAGCCCCCACAACTAGCCCAGTGTCATGGATTCAACCAGCCTCCGTGTTAGCAATCTTAATGGGACACTACCAAATACTTCACAATCAATTTTTCTGCTGTTTTCTACAAAGTGAATATGTAACTTTGTCATAGCATAACCATTCTGAATCCAGGCCCAAAATATATAGTATCACAAGGGTTATGATTAAAATCAGGCCAATCTGTCAAAAATTGTTTCATAAATACCTGTTTTCAATGTAATCTTCTAAGAAACTATTTTTTCAAATTATAGGTCATTATTCAATTTGGTTTTTGTGACCAGCATTAAAAAGAGAAAGTATCAAAGGATATGTCACATAGCAAAGAGAAGTATCTTTCCTGAAATTTTTGTTTGGAAAAAAATTTCACATGTATGTATAGGTATATATTTATTCATGTACACAATCATTCATGTATACAATGATAAAACATATATATAATTATACATGCAAATATATAGAAATTATACACATAGAATATATTTCTTGTTGAATCATTGTGAACATATTCTAACTTTTATTTGCAGGATTTACATTTAAATATTACTTGTACCTTAATTCAAAACACATATTTATTAGGTATCACAGATAAATAGTTTGAACACATTTTTCTGGACCTCACAATACCTACCAGTTTTATAATTTGAAAAATCTAGGCAAAAAATATTGTAGCAAGAATTTCCAATATTATCATTTTTTAAAAAGAGAACTTGAAAACCACAATCTTAATGTTTTTACCTTTCAAATCTATATTAATAAAAACTAAAGTTTACTCTCTTATCCCAAAAGTGAGAAAAAGGCTATATGAATTTAACCAAATTTCACAGGGATATAAGAGATAGTCTGACCTGTAGCCATTTGGCTTATTAAAAAAAAAAAAAATTCAACTTAGTGTAAAGAAAAAAATGCATTTTGTGCAGTCTTTGGGTGTCCCAAAGACAAAGGCAGTTCAAGAACAAAAATACCTGAAACTTTTAATCAAGAAAGACACTATAAGAATTAAGGCATTATAAAAGGGGTGCCTGGGTGGTTCAGTCAGCTAAGCAATCGACTCTAGACTTCCTGATCTCATAGTCTGTGGGATCAAGCCAGGGCTGGCTGGGATAGTTTCTCTCCTTTTCCCTATGCACCGCCTCCGCTTGTGCTCCTTTCATTTGCTCACACTCTCAGAATAAACTTAAAAAAAAAAAGAAGAAGAAGAAGAAGAATTAAGGCATTATAAAGAGAGAGAGAGAGCCAAGTAGAAAGTTCCTCAGCTCACCTCTCCCCACAAACACACCAAGGCTGCAACTACATATACCCCAACTCATTGTCAGAGAACAACCTGAAGACTAGCAGAACAGGTTTTCCACAGCTAAAGATACAAAGAAAAAGCCACATGGAAAAGGGTAGGAGGAGCAGAGACACGATCAGAAACTAAGCCTCCTGTGCAGCGACCCACAAGCAAGAGAGATCTCACAGGTGTGAAGGCCCTTCTCAAGGAGTGAGGGGTTCAAGCCCCACAGTGGGAAGCCCTCATACTGTGTATATGCACTGGAAATACGAGCCCCCATAAACATCTGGTTTTAAATTGGCTTAACTGGGGGAGCCAGAAGGCTATAAGAAACCAAGACTCTGCTCTTAAAAGGCCAGTGTACAGCATCACTTGCTCAGAGACCCAGGACAAGACAGCAGTTTGAAAAGCAACTGGGGGGCGCCTGGGTGGCGCAGTCGGTTAAGCGTCCGACTTCAGCCAGGTCACGATCTCGCGGTCCGTGAGTTCGAGCCCCGCGTCGGGCTCTGGGCTGATAGCTCAGAGCCTGGAGCCTGTTTCTGATTCTGTGTCTCCCTCTCTCTCTGCCCCTCCCCCGTTCATGCTCTGTCTCTCTCTGTCCCAAAAATAAATAAACGTTAAAAAAAAAAAAAAAGAAAAGCAGCTGGATTATATGTGAAAAAAAATTATTAATTTTAGGGTGTGTGCCCCAGGGGCAAGAATCTGCAGGAAGTTTTTCCAGGAATGGAAGTGCTGGCACGCACTATTTTTCTTGCCTTCCTTCAGCACAGCTGGGCCCTGGTTCTGACACTCTCTCTTCCTAGCACCACTCTCCCTGCCCTGGCGTTCCCCTGTGAACCCACCCCAACCAACCCAACTGCCCTGGCAGGGGCCCTTCCAAAGTGACTCCTGCTCTAGGGAGTCCCACCCACCTGCAGGCTCAAGACAGTGGCCACCAAGCCTCCCAGTCAGTCACACTGCGTACTACCCCACCCGCCAGCATACCTGCAGCAACTGCAGCCTGGCCTCTTGGCCAGCCTTGCCGGAGGCCATCCCCGTCCACCAGTACAGCTACAGCAGCTGCAGCCCAGTCACCATTTGCAGATGATAGGATACTATATATAAAAAACTCTAAAGATTCCACTAAAAAACTATCAGAACTAATAAATGAACTCAGTAAAGTTGCAGGACACAAAATTAATATACAGAAATCTATCGATTTCTCTACTCTATCAACAAACTAGCAGAGAAATTAAGAAAAATACCATTTATAACTGCATCAAAAAGAATAAAGTATCTAGGAATAAATTTAACCAAGGAGGTGAAAGACCTGTACTGATACCTAGGGCACTGATGAAAGAAACTGAAGAGGACACAAATAAAGGGAAAGATAGACCATGCTCATGGGTCAAAAGAATTAATACTGTTAAAAATGTCCATTCTACCCAAAGCAATCTGAACTATAATAGCATTTTCATAGAATAATCCTAAAATTTGTATGGAATCATAAAAGACCCCAAAAAACTGACGTAATCTTGAGAAGAAGAACAAAGCTGGAGGACACATAGTCCCTGATTTCAAACCATAGTACAAAGCTACAGTAATCAAAACAGTATGATACTGGCACAAAAATGGATATATAGATCAATGGAACAGAACTGAGAGCCCAGAAATAAACCCATGTTTATATGGTCAATTAATCTATGACAAAGGAGGCAAAAATACACAATGGGGAAAAGATATTCTCTTCAATAAATGGTGTTGAAAACACAGGACAGCTGCATGCAAAAGAATGAAACCACTCTCTGACACCACACACAAAAATAAGCTCAAAATGGATTCAAGACCTGAAACCATAAAAGTCCTAAAAGAAAACATGGGGAGTAAACTCTTATACATCAATCTTAGAATATATTTTCTATCTGTCTTGTCAGGCAAGGGCAACAAAAGTAAAAATAAACAACTGAAACTACATCAAACTAAAAACTTTTTGCACAATGAAGGGAACCATCAACAAAATTAAAAGGCAACCTACTAAATGTACTAAATGAGAGAAGATATTTGTAAATGATATATCTATTGAAAGGTTAATTTCCAAAATATATTAAAAAAACTCATAGCAGAGAGTATAATGCCAAGTGAAATAAGTCAGAGAAAAACAATACCATATGATTTCACTCATATGTGGAATTTAAGAAGCAAAAGAAATGAGCAAAGGAAAAAAAAAAGAAACAAGAAACAGACTCAACTATAAAGAACAAACTGATGGAGACTAGAGGAGAGATGGAAGGGAGATGGGTGAAATAGGTGATGGGGATTAAAGGGTACACTTATCATTATGAGCACTGAGTGTTGCAGAAAATTGATGAATCACTATATGTCTGAACCTAATATAACACTGTATGTTCATTATACTGGAATTAATAAAAAGAACTCATTACACTCAACACACACACACACACACACACACACACACACACTAATCCAATTAAAAAATGAGCAAGAGGGCCTGAATAGACATTCTTCCAAAGAAGACATACATATAGATGACCAACAAACAGGAAAAGATGCTCAACATCACCAATCATCAGGAAAATGCAAACTAAAACCACAATGAGCTATCACCCCACACTCGTCAGAAAGACTATTTTCAAAAAACATGAAATAACAAGTGTTTCTGAAAACATGGGACAAAGGGAATTTTTGTGCATTGTCAGTGGGAATGTAAATTTGTGTAGCCATTATGGAAAACAGTATGGCAGTCCCTCAAAAAATTAAAAATGGAAATACCATGGGATGCATTAATTCCATTTCCAGGTATTTACCTAAAGAAAAGGAAAACACCAATTCAAAAATATATATTGCACCTCTATGTTTATTGTAGCGTTATCTATAATAGCCAAGACATGGAAGCAACCTAAGTGTCCATCGACAAACGAATGAATAAAGAAGATGTGGGTGTGTGTGTGTGTGTGTGTGTGTGTGTGTGTGTGTGTGTGTGTGCACGTCTGTGTATAATGGAAGATTACTCAGCCATAAAAAGGAATGAAATATGTGACAACATGGATAAGTGAAATAAGTTAGAGAAAGACAAATACTATATAATTTCATCTATATGTAGAATTTAAAAAACAAATGAACATATAAAACAGAAACAGACTCGTACATATAGAGAAAAAACAAACTGGTGGTTACCAGAGGGGAGGGCAATGGGCTAAACAAGTAAAGGGGAATAGGAGATAGAAACTTCAAATTATAAAATAAATAAGCTGCAAGGATGTAAAGTACAGCATAAAGAGTATAGTTAATAATATTGTAATAATTTTGTATGGTAAGGCGCCTGGGTGGCTGTCAGTTAAGTGTTTGACTCTTGATTTCAGCTCAGGTCATGATCTCACAGTTTGTGAATTTAAGCCCTGAGTTGGAGCTCGATCCTCTCTCTCTCCTTTTCTCTCTGCCCCTCCCCTGCTCTTGTACACACTCTCTCTCAAAATAAACTTTAAAAAATAATAATTTTGTATGATAACAGGTGGTAACTACACTTATTGTGGGAGTATTTTGTAAGGTATATAAATGTCAAATTACTATGTTGTACACTTGAGACTATTATAATATTTTGTATCAACTATACTTCAATTTTAAAATAATGAATAAAAATAAATTTTTTTAGGGGGGCCTGGGTAGCTCAGTTGGTTAAGTGTCTGACTTCGACTCAGGTCATGATCTTGCAGTTCATGATTTTGAGCCCCATGTCGGGCTCTGCACTGACAGCACAGAGACTAAAGCCTGCTTCAGATTCTGTCTCCCTCTCTCTCTGCCTCTCTCCTGCTTGTGTTCTCTCTCTCTCTCTCAAAAATAAGCCTTAAAAATTTTTTTAATAAAATTTTTTAAAAGAATATAAGGCATTACAGAAAAGGAAAAACAGTGTTGTTTTCATATGTAAGCTTCAAATTTAAATTCTCAAGGCTAGATTTTCTGAATTGCAAGCTGTGATTTTAAACTGAGATATTTCCCATATAGGCAACTTTATATAGCGTAAACAAGGTGCCAATTTATTTACTTAACCCTGGTTAATTATTTTACTGATCAGATTACTAATAAGTATATTCCCAGCTTTTAAGCACATTAAACTTTTGGAGTATCAAAGTTTTCACTCCTATTAGCACTTCAAAACAGTAATTTGTTCATTTAAGAATATTGTCTTTTTTCCCCCTTGTATTAGAAACCTACAATATATCAAAACTTATGGAATACAATGAGTTGCCGAACTATTTAAAGTAAAGAATAATTTTCCATATTCTCAAATTCTGGACCAAAGAAATGACAATAATACCTAAAAGAATAATAAAACGATAACATATGACATATATTAACAACACATAAAGAAGATATTTCCTAATGTGACAAATGCCTACATTACATGTTATCACCTATTTTAAAAATCACTGCTGCAACATTAATTTCAATAAATGAATTCATATAATTCTATAGAATTCAAGCATTTGTAAAAAGCATTATTTAAAATGTGAAATAGTCTGTATAATGAAATATTTTACAGTGTTGAATATGGATACCTTATGACAATCATGTATCCTAGAATCTCAATATCACTTTCCTAGAAACTCAAGGCCTCTATTTAATTAAGGTCAAAGCTATGCAAACAGATTTAAGACCTTAGTTAACAATCTGCAAAAATATATAGAGAAAAACATAAACCTTCAGGTTTTCTAGGTCATTTACATTATATTTTGTTATGCTATATTTCATTATATTTATAAAAATACATAAGCATGTGAGTTGCAAGAAATAAAGTATTAATAATCAAGAAGTTTCAAAATCAATATAAAAAGTCAATCATACATAGTATTAATTTTTCTTACCTCTGAACTATAATCATCTGCTGTAGTTGAAATTTCACTTTCTGGCTAAAACAAAAGTAAAAATCGATTAGATTAAGGTCTTTTTTCCCTCCCACTGTACTCTATTAACCCATTAGTATTAGTAACATATGATGGAAAACTCACATAAAAATATCACTAAAAAAAACTAGTAAAAATTATTCAAACCTTTAAAAAAATTTTTAAAGTATGTGGATTTTATTTTATTCATTTTTTTAAGTAAGCTCTACACCCAAGGTGGGGCTTGAACTTACAACCAACCCCAAGATCAAGAGTCACATGCTCTACTGACTGAGCCAGCCAGGTGCCCCCAAACCTGAGAAATTTTCACTCTGATTATGAATCACAATGGCTATATAACACATATGCTATTTATCACAAGGCATTTTTCTAAATATAAATATATCAAGAGGTACTTTCTTTCACACAGTCATACATACACTACATACAAATCATTTGTAAGACAAAAGCACCAAATAAGGTATCATCCCTCAAATTCTTACGTCTCTTTTAAATAAAAGATCTTTATTAAAATGTTAGTCAAAAGGGTTCAATTTTTCCAAAAAGAAAAGTCATTGGGGTGCCTGGCTCAGTTGGTAGAGCACATGACTCTTGATCTTGGGGTCATAAGTTTGAGCCCCATGTTGGACCTAGAGATTAATTAAAAAAAAAAAAAAGGTTAAAAAAACCATCAAATCTTGATGCTAGAAAAGGAATAACAACTTGAAGAAATATAACAGTCTTGTTGTTATTAACACCTTTGAAGCTTATAAAACACTTTCTAAGACATCCCTGTTTCATCCTTACATCCCTGGAATTTGGGTATGAGGTGAATGGCTTTTCCAAGCTTCCCTCAGCTTATAGGTACTAGAAAGAGTCAAGGAGGAAACTTAAATTTTTACTGCTTTTACTGTTCACCCACTCATCTAAGAATCTCATTTTACAAGTGAGAAAAGAGACCTAGATATTCATTCAACAAAAATAAACCATCATTGACTCCTTTCTCACCTAGACTTTAAGGAAATTTTATTCAGCACTCAATACCAAGTTCTAAGCCTACCTACTCTCTGATGTAGTAACTGATGCCAAGAACAGAAATAAACTTAACCCTATTCTAAAATTCTGTCTCGGTGATTCCTAACTTATGTGACCCTCTTTTAAATCAAAAATACCTTTTTTAAAAAAACATTTAACGTTTATTTATTATTTTTGAGAGACAGAGACAGAGCATGAGTGGGGGAGGGGCAGAGAGAGAGAAAGGGAGACACAGAATCCGAAGCAGGCTCCAGTTGTGAGCACAGAGCCTGACTCAGGACTTGAACTCACAGACTGTGAGATCATGACCTGAGCCAAAGTCGGACGCTTAACTGACTGAGCCACCCAGGCACCCCAAATCAAAAATACTTTTATGACCTGGGTGCCTGGGTGGCTCAGTCAGTTAAGCGTCTGACTTCAGCTCAGGTCATGATCTCGCGGTCCGTGAGTTCGAGCCCCGTGTCAGGCTCTGTGCTGACAGCTCAGAGCCTGGAGCCTGTTTCAGATTCTGTGTCTCCCTCTCTCTCTGACCCTCTCCCATTCATGCTGTCTCCCCCTATCTCAAAAATAAATATACATTAAAAAAAAAACTTTTATGACCTAAGCCCTCATGGTTCATTCACTTATGCCCTTTAACCAGCTATAGATTAAATGTATATACTGTGTACTAAAAGGTGTGGTACTGAGGATAAAATGGTGAACAAGACGTTCTTTGCAGTGGAAATGCTAACTCTAGTGAAAAGCCCAGATACTGGTATGTTTTGCAGAAAAAATAACAAATATATATGCAAACTATAGCAAACACCAGAGTTGCCATATTCTACTATTTAAAAGGTTCAGATTCAACAATTACAAGATACATAAAGAAAAAGGAAAGTATGGCCCATACATAAGAAAAACAGCAGTCATTAGAAACAGTCCCTAGCCATTTTAAATATGGTCAAGTGAATAAAATTAAGTGAATAAAGTCTAAAACACTAAAGAAAACTATAAGGATACTGCCTTACAAAATAGAGAAGATCACTAAAGAGAAATAACTTAGAACCAAAGAGGAGCATCTGGCTTGCTCCATCGGTGAAGCATACGATTCTTGATCTTGGGGTTATAAGTTCATGTCCCATGCTGGGTGTAGAGATTAGTTTAAAAAAATTTTTTTAATAATAAATTAAAAAGGGGGGCACCTGAGTGGCTTAGTTGGTTAAGTGTCCGATTTCGGCTCAGGTCAAGATCTCATGGTTCGTGAGTTCAAGACCTGCGTTGGGTCCTATGCTGACAGCTCAGAGCCTGCAGCCTGCTTCAGATTCTGTCTCCCTCTCTCTCTGTCCTTTCCCCACTTGCCCTCTGTCTTTCTCAAATATAAATAAGCATTTAAAAAAATTTTTAAATTAATTAATTAATTAAAAGTAAAATAACTGAAATGAAAAATTCATTAGAGGGGCTTAACAGATCTGAGGAAGAAGAAGAAAGAATCCACAAACTTTAATATAGTTCAACTGAAATTAGGCAGTCTGAAGATAAAAACAAGAATGAAGAAAAATGAACAGAGCATCAGATCTGTACAACAATATCAAACATACCAACATGCATAACAGGAGATCCAGAAGAAGGGGACAGAAAGGAGCAGAAAGAATATTTGAAGATACAATGTCTGAAAACTTCCCAAATTTGATGAAAAACACTAATCTACATATCCAAGATGCTCAACAAGTTCTAAGTAGGAAAATCTCAAAAAGATCCATTCTTAGGATGAACAGCAAATCTCTAACATTCCTGACCTCTTGAATAAAGCTCAAATCCTAAATAATATCTAAGTCTTTCTGTTTCCACATAAATATAACAGGGCACAATCCAAATTATAATTATTATCTGCCTTTTCCACCACTCTTTCTCCTAAGCATCCCAACCTTCTTTACTCCTGGTCTTAGTTGGTGGCTCATCCCACCCACCATCCCAATCCACTTTTAAATTCTCCCTCTTTGCCGTATTCTGGAAATTACACCATTAATGAGAAGAAGAAAACTAGCCTCTGTTTAGGGCCTTCTCTGGGCCAGGTGCACTCTCCTGCCCCACATCTTTACCACCACTCATCCCCATCATTCTGTGATCCTTTTAAAACTAAACTTCCTACAGTTTCCAAATCACATCACACACAGTTTCATGTCCTTGTGAATGCTGCTTCTTTACCACAGAGGTTGTCTTGCCTACTTCTTTGCTGATAGCTAACGCCGATTTAGCATTCTCCCAAATCATGGTATTCTAGGGTACCATATGCATTTTTGTTACCACAGCTGTAATCAGAGTACACAGCCTATCTTACATCTACCTTCCCCCCTAGACTGACTTTCCTAAAGGGCAGAGATGGTCATATCTACCTTTGCATCCGTGCTGCTGAATCCTTTTTTTTTTTTTTTTTTAATTTTTTTTTTTTCAACGTTTATTTTTGGGACAGAGAGAGACAGAGCATGAACGGGGGAGGGGCAGAGAGAGAGGGAGACACAGAATTGGAAACAGGCTCCAGGCTCTGAGCCATGAGCCCAGAGCCTGACGCGGGGCTCGAACCCACGGACCGCGAGATCGTGACCTGGCTGAAGTCGGACGCTTAACCGACTGCGCCACCCAGGCGCCCCTTGAATCCTTGATATATCACAGTTGTATTACAAATGTTTGTTGAATCAAGCACACAAAAACTGCACAGGGTGCTAATGAGTACTGTTACTACAACAACTTTCCACTTAGAATTCTAATGTTCAAAATTTAAATGAATACTTACTTCAACAAAGATCTCGTCACGTTTGATTATTGTGGATTCAGGAGTCACAGCTGTTCCTACTCTCTGAGAACTATTTATGTACATTTCATCACTCCGTGAGTGCTCAAGATTCAAAGCATGGTATGCTGACACATCTTGTTTACTGCTTGAAGTTTTCTTCTTTTTTTTCTGCTTCTTAGAAGGATTCTGTCCATCAGACTGAGCTTTCCTTTGTCGAAACTGGGCAAGCTACAGAAAAAAAGAAGTTGTCATTATCATTAGAGATACTTGCTTTTTTCATAGTGGTGATCAAGAAAAAGTATCTGTGGAGTTACTTTCTTTACAAGATCAAATCATCAGTGAAATAATAAAGGACAGCTATTAGAATCCTTAATATAACTACTGAATTGCAAAGAAGTAAGATACTTCTGAATAATGCTATTCAAATACTGAGAACTGAAAATGTCACGTCTAAAGAAAAAAAATTAGCCCAGAGATAGGCAGAATAAGGGAAAACAGGCACTCTCAGTCACTGCTTGGTCAGAGTGCAATCTCTGGATAAGAGTTCTAAATGCATTTGCTTTGTGAAATTTCTGGGATTTCTAATTTATACTAAATGTAATTAGTCCATGCAAAAGATTTAGTTGTACAAATGATCACTGCAGCCTTGTATCCAATGGGAAAAATTTTGAAATAATTCAAATGTCCAACAACAGTGCTTCCTATCCCCTAACCATTTGCACATCATCAGCAGCACTTCTGTAATGTCCTACTGCCATCTGTACTCATCATTAACTTAACATGTTTTAACTAGCATACTTATCTAAATTTATTTTAAAAGGAGATTTTCTATCCTGGTATAAATTAAAAGCTAGTATTACTTGTGATTTCCTTAAATAAAACAGTAAACAGAAATGAACGTAATGAAAAATAAAACTACATTAAAATTTTAGTTATTACTGCTGAAGGTTATAGAGCAACAGGCAAGTGTTAAAGGAATATTAAGGATATATGAGCAAATAGACTTTTGGCTTACTGTAAGCAGATGGGATGAAAAAAAAACTAGAAAGGTATTAACTTTCTTACAGTACTATTCACTATTATTTAATACTGAATCAGGATATCACCTAAAATATCTTGTCACCACCTAAAATCAGAAGTATGCATTACATACTTTGGGCAATACTGGATTAACTCAATTAAAGCAATATTAATGTAAATCATCAATAATAATAAAGATGTTTATACAAAAAACATGAAAAAATAACATGTTTATGACAGTAGTATATATAAAATAATATGCAATAGAACCGTTTCTTAATAAAATGAAAATGGTGTCCATCTTTTTCTCTTTTTCAACAAAGACACAGCCTTCAACAATTCTAACTAGCTTGAATTTTAATAACATTATACACATAGGCATAAATTCTGAAAGAATATAGCCACAACTCTGGTATCTCTCCAGTTGGAGATTACAGGTATTTTTCCTTATACTTATTCAAAATTTGCTTTTTTATGCAACAAATTTTCTAAATTTTATATGAAGCAACTACTAACCACCAATTATTAAATTTAATTTGAGCTATTTGATCATTGAGAGGAAAGAAACAAAAGCATAGGAACAGGTGTAAACCCCTTCGTGTCTTAAAAAGAAGAAATATAGTATCAGTATATTAATTATATAACTACTCAGACCAAGCACGTATGATATGAGGTATTAAAGCAATCTTAATAATGATGCTGATATTAACTACCAAAATATGTGACAAATACCAGAACCCAAAGAATAACACACAGCGTATTTTATATTTATTTTGTCTGTTGCTGATGAAGAAAAGCATGACCTATATAAAAGTGATTAGTTAATAAATATGTCTAATTCATAAATCGGAAATATCAATCACTGACTTTGTAGAATGTAAAAATAGATCACATTAAAAAAATTTTTTCCCCAGTTATTTAGCAACTAGCCTGTTTTCCTACTTCATGCCTGCTTAAGGAACAGATGCAAGACCAGTTGCCTCTATTTGTACATTAGTAAGCTGCTGGAATGCATTTAAACTACTTTGGAGGATAGCAAATCCTCCATTAAAAATAAACGAACTGAAACACTATTATATATTATCTGTAAATAGAATCAAAGTCTAGGCACATTTTAAAAAGATCCTGCAGAGAGCACAAAACTAAGAAAAATGTTAATAATGACATTTTTAATATTTAAGTTCAACTTCAGAAACTTCTTAAAATTCCATGTTGTTAGAAAATATACCCAGAAGAAGATATAAAGACACAGATGAAGAATTTTGTTTGAAATTCCCATTTGTTTTATATACATATATATACATATATATATATACACACACACATATAACTTATAATATTTTAAAATTTTTTAATGTTTCTTTATTTTTGAGTGCGTGCAGGGGAGGGGCAGAGAAAGAGGGAGACACAGAATCCGAAGCAGGCTCCAGGCTCTGAGCTGTCAGCAGAACCTGACGTGGGGCTTGAACCCACAAACCGTGATATCATGACCTGAGCCACCCAGGCACCCTTATATTTAATATTTATTTCTATGTACAAAGGAGAAAACTAAAACTGCATTATAAAAAATTTTATTTTTTAAGAAACACCTATGAGACAACAGTATCCAATGCTAAATGAACCCAAATGCAAAAGTTATTAATGGACAGATATGGATTAAAAGTAAAATGGATCTTGGGGTGCCTGGCTAGCACAGCTGGAGGAGCACAAGACTCTAGATCTCAGGGTTGAGATTTCGAGCCCCACATTGGGGATAGCGGTTACTTAAATAAATTTTTTGTTTAAAAAGTAGAATGGTTCTATTATGGTGTTCAGAACAAATCACTTCTAAGAACATAAAATTACTAAGACACTGTTTTGGGTCTTTTACTGATAATATGAAGTCATACTATATTTTCAGAACAATTAATCAGAAGGTAAACTGCATGAGGGTAAGGACTTTTGTTCTCACAGCTATATATTCAAAATCTAGAAGAGTACTCAAAAAATACACGTTGAGTGAGAAAAAAGATAATTTATCTTTTACAAAAAGTCACCACTAAACAATCATTTTAAGCACTGATCCACAGAACCAGACAATTAAGATGACATAATAGGCATATCTAATTCTACTATATAAAAAGGTTCCATGATCTTAGAAATAAAATTAGCAATTAAATGATTTAAAACACAAAATCATCCCTCTTTCCATCTCTTCCTCCATCAGGCAAAAAACAAGACAAAATTAATTCTCAAAAATAATGCCCACAATAGCTTTTTAGCAAGAGTTCTGTTTCATAAAAATGTATAAAGAACTTATACAACTCAACACCAAAAAAACAATCTGACTAAAAATGAACAGAGGATATGAAGAGACATTTCTCCAAAGAAGACATATACATGGCTAACAGATGCATGAAAATATACTCAACATCACTAATAATCAGGAAAATGCAAATCAAACAACAATAAGATATCACTTTACTCCTGTCAGAATGGCTAAAATCAAAAATACAAGAAACAACAAGTGTTGGCAAGGATGTGGAGAAAATGAAAACCTTTGTGCACTGCTGCTGAGAATGCATATTGATGCAGCCACTGTGGAAAACAGAATGGAGGTACCTCAAAAAATTAAAAATAGAATTACCATATGATCCAGTACTCCCACTACTGGATACTTACCTAAAGGAAATAAAAACAGTAATCTGAAAAGATATATACACCCCTATGTTTATTGCAGCATTATTTACAATAGCCAAGATACAGAAGCAACCTAAGAGTCCATTGATAGACAAATGGACAAGAAAGATGTGGCACATATATACAATGGAATATTACACAGCCATAAAAAATGAGGCTATGCCATTTGAGATAATGTGGGTGGACCTCCTGGGCACTATATTAAGTGAAATAAGATTGAGAAAGACAAATACCATAAATTTCACTCATGTGGAATTAAAAAAAAAAACAAAACAAAACAGGGGCACCTGGAGGCTCAGCTGGTTAAGCATCCAACTCTTTATTTCAGGTTCATGAGTTCAAGCCCCACATTGGGCCCTGCACTTACAGCGCAGAGCCTGCTTGGGCTTGTCTCACTCTTCCTCTCTCTTCCCCTCCCCCCTGCGCACACTCTCTCTCTCAAAATAAACAAACATTTAAAAAACATTTAAACAAACATTTAAAAAATAATAAGAAAACAAACAGAAAAGAGACAGATTGTTAAATACAGAGAAGAAATTGTAGAGGGGAGGTGGCTAGGGAGACAGGTGACTGAGAGTACACTTATCCTGATGAGCACAGAGAAATATATAGAATTGCTGAATTGTTATATTATACACGTGACACTAATATAATACTGTATGTTAATTATACTTTGAGTTTTAAAAATAAATAAAACCCACAACTGTTTTTCAGCAAGAGCTCTGTTTCACAAAAATGTGAGAGGGAATAAGATCATACCATAAATCTAATTTCTTATAGCTATTTAAGCTATTTTTATTTTAAATCTGTAAAGTGGCAAGCTAGCAGATAAGCAAAAATCAGAAACTCTACTCAATTAGCTAATCATCTGATATTGAAATGATACACTTTAAATTACTGGGAAAACATTTATTCTAAAACATGCTGAAACTTCAGACTACAGCCATCTGTGTTTGTCATTTGGAAGCCAATTATAAAAATGTTAACATATGTAGGCACAGAAATAGTTGCAAGATTTACTGGAAAGATATTATGTCCACATACACTTGTCTTTCAAAACGAATTCAGATCTCAAGCAAGTATCTTACTTTAATTAGAACATGAATAAATGAGTAAACAAAAATGACTGATAATTTATTCCTTAAGTTCAATATTTATAAGTAATCATTCTTAATAAAACAAGAAACTTAAAAAATGTGGTATAAAAACATGTCAAGTTTTTATAATGGCAGTTCAACAAAACTACTAATTGTAATATTTGTTTATTGAGTATTCATTGAGTGTTCATCATGTGCTAGGCACGGTGCTAGACATGAATCAAAATATATAGTCCTACTAGTATGATCTTTTAGTCAAGGCCAGCCCATTACTTCACTGAGTTGTAAGAAACAAAAGTTTGTGTAAAATTTGATGAACAAAAGTACTCCCACATATACATCTTTAAAGAGATGGTACAGGAGCCTCTCATATCCTGATTTCCTCAAAGAAGGCTTTCTGTAAGAGGTGTGGTTGTGGAATTTTATATCTGT